TACACTGGCATTGGACCATGCCCGCTCCCCTGCAGCCACACCCCCTCCAAGCGCTGCGCGGCGGCTAAGCCCGACAGCAGCCGCTGCACCCGCAACAAAGAGTGCACGACACGCGTGTGGTGAGTGGCAGCTGGCATCCTGCTCACTGTGGCGCCGACTCAAAGCCCCACTCAACCTGCCTCCCCTTGCGTGCGCATCCTGCAGCGGCACCGCCACAAAGCGGTGCGGCAAGGTGGCCGATGGCGTGAAGTGTGCATCTGATCAGGAGTGTGCCACCGGTTACTGGTGAGCACCCCGTGCCACAGCCGGGTCTTGCGCAGGGACGGGCCGCCGCCATTGCCGGTGCCAACTCCTGCCATTCGCTGCTGCAGCAACCACGGCTACGGGAAGAACGCCGCCAAATGGGTGTGCGGCAAGTTCCCGCCCGGCTCGCCGTGCCGCGCCGACACTGACTGCACCAGCGGCACTTGGTGAGCGGCTGGCAGGCTGCCTCATGAGGGCAGGCGCAGAATCCTGGATGCTGCACCTGCCCTGCTGAGGCAGCCTGCCAGCCGCTCACCAAGTGCCGCTGGTGCAGTCAGTGTCGGCGCGGCACGGCGAGCCGGGCGGGAACTTGCCGCACACCCATTTGGCGGCGTTCTTCCCGTAGCCGTGGTTGCTGCAGCAGCGAATGGCAGGAGTTGGCACCGGCAATGGCGGCGGCCCGTCCCTGCGCAAGACCCGGCTGTGGCACGGGGTGCTCACCAGTAACCGGTGGCACACTCCTGATCAGATGCACACTTCACGCCATCGGCCACCTTGCCGCACCGCTTTGTGGCGGTGCCGCTGCAGGATGCGCACGCAAGGGGAGGCAGGTTGAGTGGGGCTTTGAGTCGGCGCCACAGTGAGCAGGATGCCAGCTGCCACTCACCACACGCGTGTCGTGCACTCTTTGTTGCGGGTGCAGCGGCTGCTGTCGGGCTTAGCCGCCGCGCAGCGCTTGGAGGGGGTGTGGCTGCAGGGGAGCGGGCATGGTCCAATGCCAGTGTTTGAGGAGGGGACGAGACGGCCATGGCAGGGGGCAGAGCTGTGAGCAGCAGCACAGCTCGGGTGTTGGCAGCGCGCGATCGCCTGGCAGCCGGCAGCGCGGGAGCAATTGGCACATGGGGGCCCACCAGATGCCGCTGGCACACTGCGTGTCCTTCATGCATTGCTTGCTGTTCGCCAGCCTGCGGGATTGGGTGTGGGAGTGCGAGCGGCCAGCTTTAAGAGCCGGCATCCCGCCGGGCGGAGGGTTCATTCATTCATTCAGCACACAGACCGGCCGCCTCTTGCTCGAGGGCGGCCCACTTTGGCCTGGGCAGCCCGGGCCGCCCTCCCCCCCGGGCGCATGTTCGGTGTTGGAGGGGTGCGCCCAGCGATAGGGGGCCCCTGAAGGCATGCGCCGAGGCCGGGAAGCGTGGTTCGGCGCTGCTGCACGCTTGGCGACTTGAACAGAACCGCGTGCCGCCGAGCTGCGGCCGCAGTTTCCGGCCCACAGTCTACGGCCGCAGCCACGGGACTCGGCGGCACGGCGTTTGGGCCCAAGCTTGCTGCCGCCGCCGCCGTGCCCGGGGGGCAGCGCGGCGGCGGGG